ATAGATGCTCATCTTTTATTAAGGAAATATTAGGCTTACTAAGGAAACTATGATTAGGTTGATGCAAAGCTTTTATTCTATTTTACATCAAATCTGAGACATATACATATAGTGTATTTTATACCCTAAAGTGATTAATGCCTAAATAATGAAAGGCTACTCAATTTTAATACTTTACTTACGAAATGTCGTGCCGAGATGGCACGAGTCATTTTCCAAAGAATTTATAATGACAAAACTATACTTAAACGACTTAAAATTGGGTACTTTCCTTAATAACAAATAAATTATTTCGACTGTTCAGTACATGAAAATGTTAAAAAATAATCACACTTTCATTGATTGATTTTCTGAGCAAATTAAATTTAGTATTTTTTCCAGCAATTTTTTAAGAAATGAGTACATGCGGTTTGATGCTAAAAAACGTGACATCACAATACACTATTTCGTACAAAAATCATAGAAAACTGTTGTTTTTTACAGTTCGAAAAAAGTATTTAAATTGACTAGTTGGCAAGTACCCAATTGAGTGGTGTTTGAGTATTTGGACACATAATTAGGTTGATGCAAAGCTTTGACTTTATTTTGAGTGACTTTTACGTGTTAGTTAAATCTGATTCATGTATTTTATCCTCTAAAGAAATACCTCAGTTTAACGTTAATGTGTAATCGATAGAAGTTATAGTATTTAAGTGTGCGAGAGCCATGCTTCGGCACGAATGGGCCGACTCGACCGGAGTGATACCACGGCCTTACAGAAAACCGACGTGAAGCAACGCTTGCGTTGTGTTTCGTCGTGTGCGTGAGGTTACCGGAGGCCCAATTACCCTCCCCTTCCCCAATCTCCCCAATTCCTGAATCCCCAACAATCCTCAAACTTCTAATCCCCAAAAGGCCGGTTACGCACTTGTAACGCCTCTGGTCGTCCAGGTGTCGATGGGCGACGCCGATTGCTTACTATCAGGTGATCCGTCTGCTCGTTTACCGGCTCATGCCATAAAAAAACCTATAGGAACGAAATACAAACCAACAAATTAAAATATTTGTGGAGAATAAACAGACTATTTAAGACTTATGTTGCCACTGAAATATTATTGAATCTATCTCATCACGTATTTCCTAGTTGGTCGTGGTGGTTCGGGAGTTAAGACGCCCGCTTCTCATGTATGCAGGTTTGAAATCAATGTGACTTTTTACTAGTTATATGTACTTTTTAAGATTATTTAGACACCTCTGACAAACGGTGAAGGAAACATCGTGCGGAAACCTGAGCTTATAATTTCTAATCATAAGTTTGAAATCGCCAACCTGCATTGAGGCAACGTTGTGATTAATGCTCAATCCTACTCCGTGCGAACTATAAAAATAAACAACTATAAAAAATCGACAAGAGAAGATTGATTTTCGCAAATAATAGTGAATTACCTACAGTATGTAATATGAATAGTTTTCAATTTAATAGTGATATTCCATAACCTCATTGACCACATACACCTAGCCTACGTTGAACAGCATTGATTAGTATTATCAAAAGCCTCGGCTTGGCCCACAAATCACAAAGCTAGTCATTAATATTATTGTGAACTTCAATTCTCTATCTAACTGTTACATTGTACTATCACTGTGGCTATTAATGTTATTGGCTGAGCAAAATGGACATAAAGCCGTATGTAGGTATTTATTTATTTATATATGCTTTATTCTACACATAGGTAACTTAAAAACAAACAATTCAAGTAAATATGCGTACAATGGGCGGTCTTATCACACAATGGTGATAGTGGTGATAGTTACAATACAAAAAAGACAAAATAATAATACCTACAATACAACCTACAATAGATATAATATACTAGCAATATATAAAAAAGAAATACATAAAGAATATATAAAACTACAATAAACTATGTGTGAGTGCGTGACTGTGCGTGTGTGTATGTGTATTATTGTTTATCCAATATAGCACTAACTATGAAAGGTATTTATCTATCCAGATACATAAATACAATTGGAATGTCTGATTGTACTATTAAAATAACCGCTTATTACTACATGACCCGAGACCCCTTGGCCGGCAGTCGCACTTGCGACCACTCGGTCAACGAGGAAGTCAATTATTTTATCTCCAAACTATACCTGCTACAAGATTTTACTATGAATAACTCTACTAAATACATTATAAATCATCAATTCTATATGCCAGTGCATTATCACCCATATACACTAAGCTGTAAGAATCAAGTCATCTATTATAATGTGATCTCCGCCGACGTGAGGACCGCTAAGCTTTATATGCAGCCAGCCCCGTTGGTCTCTTTATAAATTACCCCTTTGGCCTTATACAGAGTAGGTACGTTTCAAGTCTAATCCAGATGGACTGAGTATCTAAGAATACACTTGAAACTTAGTCATAAATATGATAGATTTACTCAATTTTTGTATAGAGTTGTACAGGTACATACATAGGCAGAAGTGTTACTGGTATGCTATATTTGTCTAAAGGTGCACTATGCACCTCTTAATGCTCGAAACGGTAGGCAAAGATGTACATACAATGGGGTCCCAGCCGCCTAACCACCACTAACTTAATATTTGTACAATGTACAATATACTACCCACTTGTCATAAATTATACAAAGAGTCTCATTTGGTCGCGGATGAGCCTGTTGCCATTCACCGGTCACGATTCACAACATTATCATACAAACAGTAATTAATGGTGCATTATTCTATACTAGCTTTTACTCACGGCTTCGCTCGCGTCACAAAAGGATAAAAAGTAGCCTATGCGACATATATCAATACACACAGCGCCATCTATACCAATACTTTTGTTTTCCCTTGAGAATATCAAATTTTTCCGGGATAAAAAGTACCCTATTATTTAATCCAGACTTCCAACTTTACGTCTGCAAAAATTCAAAGTAATCGGTTTAGTGGTTACGGCGTGAAAGTAAAACAAACAAACAAACTCACTTTCCGATTTATAATATCAGTAAGGATTTTGTATTAAAAACTGTTACTTAGCACACAAGGGTGCGTCCGCATCTGGCGAATGTTTCGCGAATGCGTAGCTACGCACCATAATATTACTTGTTCCACACGATAGTGTTCATGATAATGAATTTGACGTAAATGAAAAGAAATAAACCTGTATATAATCTATCCTTTTTTATGTAATGACTTCAACCTTAATTACATGTTCAATGTAATCTAGATTACAAATCCCAATTAAGAATGTTTATAAAACATATTAACACAATTATTTGCACAACATAGCTACGTGCTCCCGCGTGGTTGTACCTGCTGCTTGGATCGTATTGATTATAGCGTGATGTTTTATAGCCTGGAGCCTACCTCAAAACATGCACTTCTTCTTCCTAGTCGATTCCCGCACTGCTGAGGATTGTGACTCCTTCTGATTTTGCTCACTACATATCGCCACTTATCTCGTTCCGTTCGCGTTGCTTGGTGCATTGCAATATTCATGGGTATCTTCAGCTCCTTGGATATTTCGTCAGACCACCGTATGGGACTCCGGGCTGTCGATTTCTTTCCTTCTACCTTACCAGTTACTATGTGGCGTTCGTTCCAGACTGCTAGCATCTCTGCGAGCAATATGGCCAAAGTATCACACAATCCTTTGTAAGCAAAATTGTAAACAAACGCTGAGTTTTGTGTATTTTAGCTCTTTCAAAATAGAAACATTTGTACGGTAAGGTCCACGGTATCCTCAGCATCTTGCGCGTATAAATAAATGGACTATCCACTACAAAAGACTATTCAATACGGACTTGCAATTCCGGCAATTAACTTGTTCAAACAAACTCGTCAGGTTTAAAAGTTAAAAAGTGAAGATTATTTACTTTTTTATGGAATAGCAGCAAACAAGTAAATGATACGGTGCATTCGCGCCATCTATAGGTAGGTAGGTACTTGAAGAAATGCGAGTAAAGTAAAGTAGAAATGTTAAAGTTCAATCTGTGAACCAATTGATTTGGGTCTTATCTATCTAGCAATATATTCTCAAAGAAAAGAGACAACTCGATTTGTTTGTCTGATGTCGTAATTTTTCGAGTGTATGTAAGTATGTATGTATGTCTTTTTAATAATATTAATTACATTTCTATACAAATAGTTTAAAGAAAGCCTGACGTTAAACCCATACCCGGACTTCAAACATCATTAAAATGTAAGACATTCATGAACATTAATTTCTATTACTACCTATAGCTTGTCAACTTACAGTATTGCAACCATCGTGATTGCAATTTAATTTGAATCATTAATCAAATCAGTGAACTCTTCCTGAAGTTGCAACACAACTGTCTTTCGTAAGAGTTTTATCAATGTATGTAACTTATGATGATAAGTTGATATATTATCTTCATAATAATAAGTAAAAATGAGCTTGTATAATAACTATCGTGAGACATACTAAATTAAGTAAAAACGTGGGTTACTCACGTGAATATACTGAGAAAAGCTATACTACATAGTTTCGAACCACAGAGGGGTTCTTCCTCATGAGCAGCCTGCGCGGTCGCGGCGACGTCGTCGCGCAGCTCACTCGGTTCATTGAAATTAAAATAGAGGTGTGTTAATAATTCTTCTGCGTAAGTTCTTCAACTTCTTGAAAACTGGTACAAGACGTCATTATAATTAAGGAATTAAGCGTAGGTTGTAAGTTTCCAATATTAATACTTCTAGTGTTCCTATGAGGGTGACATGTTCGTTATAAGAACAAATCCTCCTTAACTCGTCGAGTACCGGTTTTGTAGATACAATTATAGAACAATAGGTTGCGGTCACCGGTGACCGCTTGGTGTTTGACAGTTTAATCAATAAAGAATAAAAAAGACGTCATTATATGGAGGCAAAACCAGCTTCAAACTCCTTAAGCGACGCATCAATGCGAAACCAGTGATATACATAAAAGTAATTACGTACGTACAGGCGTAACACTGCGTATCGACGGAACTCGATCGCGTGCGCCGGCGCAGTCACGGCCAATCACCGGCCAATGACGGTCGCGATCGCCTTTATTATTATTTTTGTTCAAACAACAATTTAATTTAGAGTTTATTGGTGAACAAATTTGGTGGCATTGGTTTTGTGATTTCTCTAAGGTTTGTTTTTTTTTTGTTTTATCGTTGTGTTTGTTACTGTTCATGCATGGTGATATTCGTACTTGTTTCGGATTACCAAATCATTGTCTTATCTACGTTATCAATAAATTATTTGTGTGTTAATAAAATTATGATGATATTCTATATTGTATCGAATTAGGAACTTTAGGTACTATTATTCAATGAAAATGTTTAAATGTTTATTCTTTAAACAACAATCAGATTTACATTATGTCGATTTAAGTACGCTTTGATATTAGTCTACACTATAAAACCGGGTTTATTAAAATAGCATCAAAATATACAACCGCATATCCGCAATGCTTATTATAGAAATCTTTTTTATCGTTCCTTAAAGTTACCACAGTATATTGATTAGTAAATTTGGCTAATAATAAAGGTCATCAGACATAATTTTAGGGGTTTAGAAAATGTGGCGGAAATGTGCCTAAAAATTTTATCTGAATAATTAGAATATGTGGTTTACCCACGTCACGTCACGTCCGCATCCTCGGGTGTGCTCGACCAGTTTCAAGCCACTAACGGGATTCTTAAACATGGCATTACTAATTCGCCACGTCCGTGACGATTTTATAACTGACTTAAGAAAGAAGATTCTCAGTAAGGCCTGTTTGTATGTATGTATATATAACATAACATAGCATCACGCCTTTTCTCCCCGAAGGTGTAGGCAGAGGTAACACCAGGTATGTAACTCCCACTGTTCACTATTTATGTTATGAGTCCCATGTAATAGGGGGTGAGCCTATTATATATATGTATGTATGTATGTGTGCTTTAATAACCAATTTCATTCCAAAAAGAGGGGGTTGAAGTCGTTATTTTTAATATAGTCTATAACAGAATTGTCTCTCGTCTCTCTTGATTGACATTTAAAGTCTAAGTCACAGCACTTTTAAAACGTCAACGCGAGGCTTTAATAATGATAATTTAATAATGAACATGTTTATTTTTTTTTATTTATTAACACTTCTGTATAACAAACATACGATGGCGGACTTAATGCCGGGTGGCATTCTCTAACAGTCAAACATAGGGTGATGCAGAGATGTACAACAGTAGGTGTAATAGGTATTATGATTTAATTTATGTGACACAGAATAAATGTATATAAATAAATTCATAATTATTATGCATAACTACATACATATATCCGTATATATAGGTATAATATAAATTATATAAGATAATTATTTACAAGATTATTCAAAGTACAATATAATTATTTCTTTTGCATGTTTCAATTGTCGTGAGCTGACCTCCTTAACCCTTAAGGTAAACAAGTTCTCATATTATACTTGTGTACATTTCAATTAGCTTTTATCATCTGCAATTACATTTGCAGGATTCCCAACCTTATTAAACAGTAAATACAGTACTTATTCTTTCTTGTTATTATTGTGGTTTTTCTTTTAATTTTTTGCGCAGTTCAGATCAGAGATATGTCTGTTTATATACTGCACTGTGCACTTCTATAAGTTCGTTGCCATATCCAGTTTCGAAGGGCAGGTGGGCATTGCTTTATGTCCACATAGAAATATTTTCTTAAATTACTTTTATGAGCATAACTATGTACATCTATTCATATAATAAAGTCGCGGAGAACCTAACGGGTTACCGAGGCTCCGACTCGAAGTGCAGGAGAAGGAACGGGGTGGTTTTTAGTCAATAAGAGTCTGACACTCCCTCCCGTCTCACCCAGGCGAGAGAAGTCATTCGATGATTTCTCCCCCTTAAAAAAATCATATAATAAAATCGTAGGAACGTGAAAACTGTACATTGAATGTTTTTTTTTTAATAGAACGCTTGGTGCGTGATCCACAGTCGATATCGAAGCCAAAATATGGTTTATAGATTTTTTGTCTGTTTGTCTGTATGCACGTCCTTGCTAAACTAAAAAATACTGCATGGATTTACTTTACATTTTGCATGAATATTACAAACAGGTCCAGTCAATATATAGGCTACATATTATCATGCTATAACCTACAGGGAAGGAGCTGTGAAGCACTATTCTACGCAGTCGAAATCGCGGGCACAGCTAGTATATGTATAAACTATCAACACACGGCTTCACATGCCCTGCTCGACTCCTCCTAGCGTGATGTTTTATAGTAGACTAAAACATAATATTATACCAAATATACTATAACCTTCTTCGGTATATGGATATTCCAAGTCAAAAATATAATTATTCATTTCGGACCAGCATTTCTGGAGATTACCGCATACTCAAACTCTTCAGCTTTATTTATTAGTAGTACATATAATTATTTTTTAATTTTACTCTTTGTGTGATCCACAAATTGTTGTTCCGGGTATGGGTGACATGTGTATGTGAACTTGTATGTTTGTAAACGCACCCACGACACGGGAAGAAATTGCTTTGCGAGGGCAATGTCCATTAAAAAAAAATTTGGCTGTCCTACTTTTCTTTAATTTTGTTTCGATGTAAAATATCTCGGAAGGATGAGTGATACTAGCTATAATGAGATAACTAACCGTATTTTATACCAAAATATTTTCGTTTTTCTTAGTAGTTATCTGACGTAATTTATAAAAAGCTCGCGCTACCAATTAAACGAACAAGATAATGAACAAACACAAAGTGCAACCATTTACCCACGAGGAATACCAAGCACAATATTGTGTTATCTTTAATCTGCTGGTCATGTTAACGGTACAAAGACGATATTTACATGCAAGCCACAAGATCGGGGTCCGAAGGTACCAATTTTGGCATTACAGCTAAATTAAATTTGTGCAAAGGTCCGACCGGCGCGTCGCTCGACGCACTGTAGACCATCAGCCGTGGCAAGCAACGTGCCGATTAAATAATCCTGTTAGTGAGAGACGAGGTTGCTTCCGCACCCCTCAAAGAGGACACAAAATCCTAGATATAAGCCTAGATAGATGTAAAAATTACTTTGTTTACCTTGTATGTTAACAACGTACAAAACTAGTATAAGTGGTAGTTCAAGGCAATAGGGATGATGACAAGATAGGAAATTTAAAAATCTAATTACCCCGTCCGGTAGGTATTGATAAAATATTAGACATGTATTTTTTTATTTGGTCGTACCTATAAAGGCCGATTTTTCCAACTCTAGATAAATTGTAACTGAGGAATAAGTTTAAATATTTGACAATTCTTCCATACTAAAAACTGTCAAATGTCAATTTTATTCGACAGTTAAGATATGATAATTAAAAAATCGGTCCTAATAAAACAATACTACGTCATTTTTGAGTACCTATAAAACGTACAACAAAAGTGACGTCACGCAATATTTAAAATCGATATATCGTCGAAAGTATTGTGTTTTCGTAAGAAAATAAAAAATACGTGTCTAATGTTTTTAAATAATCTACCGGACGGACGTTAAAATAAAAATTAGTCGGTTTTTCTGATAAGTGTTTCGTATATTTAGAAATTGGACGAGAAATTAGAATTCATGATAAATAATAGTAGTACTTCCTAGTTTTAACCTACTTTAAAAAATGACATTCTTTATTTAACCTGTATGTATGTATGAATGTATGTTTGTGCGCATGTATATCGCTATTGGCTGAACCGATTGTGTGTGACGCAGTTTTCAAAAAAGTGTTTAATACAGGTAGGAGAAGGTTTTAGTATATATTTTATAAATTAACTGACTTCCAATAAGAGGGTGTTGACGTTGGTTTTTTTTAACGTGGTTTATAATTTTACTACAAACCCGCCCCGACTTCGCACTGGTGCAATATGCATGTGTTATACATATATAAACCTTCCTTAAGAATCACTCTATCTATTAAAAAAACCGTATCAAAATCCGTTGCGCAGTTTTAAAGATCTAAGCATACATAGGGACAGACAGACGACGGATAGCGACTTTGTTTTATACTAACTATGTAGTGATTCAAAAATTGTCCATCATTGAAATTCTGAATCATTGAATAATTTAACAGCAATGCTATTAATTGTTGTGCCCGAAGCTGTACCTTTGTTTTAGGACTAAACAAATTTCGTTACGCATTTTGCGCACACATGACGTTATTTGTACCACATTAAAATTATTTTGAATTATGTGAAGACTAATTTACACACAATCAGCGAAGCAATATGTATGTAGGTACCTAATTTTACAAATGTTTCTTTCTTTTTTTTTTGCCCCATACTAGGATTTTTCCTGTGTCGTGGGTGCGTTTAAAAACTTTAACTTATATTATTGATTGTAGGTTTATTCAGGTTTTTAACTGTTTATCATATACCTTCACTTGTTTCCTTTTACTTTATGTATGTGTTTCTTATTAAAAACTTGTTATTGTGACCATGGTCGAAAAAACGCACACAAAAAAGGCAAACAAAACGATTTCAAAAATACCTACAGACTGAACCTATTACAAAGAAATATATCGTTGTGTGGTTATCATATTTATGTTATTGAACTCAATCGGTACTAAGCCCGATGCCTCCTTTAGGTGCGAATGGTACCGGAGACGTTTTTGTGACATAAAAATCGCACACTCCCTAGTTCTTTTCCCCAAAAAGCTACACGCTTTTTGAAGGTTTCCCCCGTCAACAAAAAAAGGTACTGAACATTTAAACAATATCTAATTATAACCCTTGATAAAAAGCTAGTCACCGGTCGTTTCAAGTAGGTACAAGTTTGACTATCATATTACAATTAAGATGAACAAAATCTTCCACGGCATTTGTTGACGTCATAGTTTTTGCACCGGTCGATATCGAAAAACCCAACACATAAATAATACTTTGAACTCGTTCTGATAATCTAAACCTTATAGTAATAGTAAGTAGGCAGATGTCGTTGGGCTCGCTGCCATCGCAGCGGTAAGTCCCCTCTTTGAGGAGTGGCTTGAGAGACGCTACGGCGTCCTCACCTACCGCCTGACGCAGGTCCTCACCGGACATGGAAGTTTCGGGAGGTACCTGTGTCTGATGGGGCGGGAGGAAACGCCCGGGTGTCATCACTGCGAGGACCGCCCTGAGGACACGGTGGAACACACGGTGGGAGAATGCCCTTCGTGGGCTGAGCACCGCCGTGTCCTCAGGGAAGTGATCGGCGATGGCGACCTCTCGCGTCCGGGCCTAGTGCAGGCCATGATGCGGAGCGAGGGGGATTGGGATGCCGTCTCCTCCTTTTGCGAAGCAGTCATGCTAGCTAAGGAGGAGGCGGGACGCGTGAGGCAGCGAAGCGCTGCCTCCTCGCAACCCAGCCATCGCGAAGGACACACCGGGCGTCGGGGATCGCGGGACGATCTCCGGCCACCGTAAGCGCGGGCCTGCGGACGGCGAGCATGGGTGGCTCCCCGTCCGACCAGAAACAGACCCGAGCGTACGGCGCGTCGCGTTCCGCGCGCGCCTCAAAGAGCCATCAGACCACCACAGATGGGGCCCAATAGGGCCGATGCCGATTCGGAGTCGCGGAGAACCTAACGGGTAACCGGGGCTCCGGCTCGACGTGCAGGAGAAGGAACGGGGTGGTTTTTAGTCAGTAAGAGTCTGACACTCCCTCCCGCCTCACCCAGGCGGGGGCAGTCATTCGATGATTTTCCCCCCTTAAAAAAAAAAAAAAAAAAAAAAAAGGCAGATGTCGTGGTTTAAGAGTCACTATAATAATAAATCATACTTCGGTACCTTTAGTAGTTACTGCAAACAAGTCATAAAAACAAACTTGGTACTTAAACCAACGATAATTCTGATGGACAAAAAAGCGGATAATTCCAACAAGACCATATCGTACCTAGCAATTATATTCGGTTCCATCGGATCCATCTATTTCAACGATACAACAAAAAACTGAGAGCCGAGAACATGAAGTCACTTGGCTTATTTGATGCCGTTAAATATTGAAACTTAAGAAAACATTTCGAATAAAACCATTAAATATGCTAATAAAATATGCATACCTCCTTACTTTAGTAGTAGGTAGTAGTAAAAGATACAAACCTGTTTTTTCTTTCCTGGCCCTGTTTACCCTAAATATTATAAACCATTTTACAACTGTTTCTCCGTCACTTATGAATTAAATTTATCCTATGAATTGAAAACGTGAATTTAAAATACTATTTTTAAATTTTTCACAGAAACAAAATGGCTCCCAATACAGAAAAACGACAAGTAAGCTTTCCTCAGTTAGAATATCCGATTTATCGAGAAGCACAGCCGAAATCTGCCCAACACTGGTTAAAAGGAAAGAGAATGCAAGATGGCGCCGAGGATTTGTGGAGAATACATGACAGTCTTTATGATTTAACGGATTTTATATCTTCACACCCTGGAGGGTCACAATGGATAGCTGTCAATAAGGTAAGGAACCAATTTCTATTGAAAAAAATATATGTGCATGTAAAGTTCATTTCCCTTCGAACTTTTTAAACTTTTGATGCTAAAAGAAAAAAATCTTTCAAAGAGGTATTATAAAAACGGTTATTGTCAAACCACTTATCCTAATCACACTTCAAACGATACCCACCCAAGGACGTCAATTAATCTTCTGACGTACGAACAAATACACCAATGTTTTCTTTCCTTTCTCTCTGAGCAGGACAAAACCGTAAATGATTTTCATCTTTCATTGGACGATAAAAAATGACCACTACAGTCTGGGCCGGGATCCGATCGCGATAAATGGCGACAAGCTCTATTTCTATCACTGTGAGACACTGTCATTTAGAACGAGTCTACAATAAATAATACTGCTCTGTTACAAACCGAGCAAAGCTTAACTGATATGTAGATATAGTTATTTTTCTTCAAATTTGTCATTAACAAGATTTATGCTAGGATTTCAATTTGAGATAGAAGCAAAATTAATTTACGTCGCTCTTGTCGTGTGTTTTTCATTACATTTTTTTGTTTGTGACGCATTGTACGCAAGATTAATATAATCATAAATCTCTTAGTTGTTATTTTTCCATTCTCTATTATTAGTGGGTCATAAAATACTTTTATCGATAATATAATGTAATTAATTACGTACAAAAAATATATATATTTTAAGTAATCAAAAGAAAAATATTTCTTAGTAATAAATTAATGTATTTAAATTGAGCACCTTCACCTTGTATGATGAGACTAGTAACTATAGCAGTCAATAGAAGCATTGTTTATTTACCTCTGGTTAGCGTGTTAAGCTCCTAGTACTATAGCAAACATCTCATTTAGTAAAGCTGTTATTTAAATAATGAAGCTGTCAAGTCGAAGTGAAACCTGCCCGTGAACTAAGTAATGACATACAATAAACCTAATCACACAAGTCGCGTTTGACAACTCACGTCTCACCTTGTTCCTTCAATTGTTTACGAACTGTTTATCATGCTAATTAAATGCCAATCCCATTTGCGTTAAACTGCTATATCATTTGTAAATCATGAATTAAGTACAAATTGATTCCAAAAACAGTTACAAAATTATGTTTATAATTGATAGACGACGTATAAAATTTAAATTAAATAGCCAAGGGCTAATCGAAGTCAAAGAAAACATTTGATGAATTTGAAACTAAAACTAAATCTAGTTTTAGATTTACTTTTAAATACGATTAGAATCTTGGAATTAGAAACATAAACATAACTACAAACAATTGAAATACTTTTATGAAAATAAAGTAACAAATACTATTTTTTTGTCCCTCAGGGTACAGATATAACAGAAGCTTTCGAAACACATCATCTCAAAGGAATTGCTGAGTCACTATTACCAAATTATTATGTAAGAAAAGCAACCAAGCCAAGGAATCAACCATTCACGTTTAAAGAAGATGGATTTTACAAAACTTTGAAGTTGAAAGTCATGGATCAGATCCAATCAATACCAAAAGATGTGAGGAAGAAAAGCGATTTTATCACTGATGGTTTATTGCTTGCTTTAATTGTCTTGGCTCCATTAAGTTGTTGGGGCTGGACCCAAAGCTTTATCATAGGAGCCTCTCTAACCCTCATGACCAGTTACGTTCTGAGTTCTGTGGTCACATGCGCACACAACTATTTTCATCGAGGCGATAACTGGAGGATGTACATATTCAACTTAGCTGGTATGTCATTTAGGTAAGTTTTCGGTTTCTAGTACAATTACATTTAGGAATAGGAAACTGTATTGAAATTTCAGTCAATAATTTTATTTCATATCATGAAGTCCTTCGATTTGTTCCAATACATAAAAAGAAAAGTAGTTTTGTTTATCTGCAATATAACTTTGTGCAATATAACAAGTGCACATCTTCTTTACAAAGATATTGTAAGGAGGATGGTTGACACTTCAGGTGATTGAAGGGCAGGCTACTACCTTGGGCAACGGCAAAGGTTAAGCATCGCCATTCAACGTGGAAATGCTGCCAGTCTTTTGGGCACCTGACTTCACGATAGTGATGAGGAAAATTATTTCTTTGATGCCTTATGACATATTTTTGTTTTTTAAGGTGTAAATGTTTTAGTTTTAAATTATTTACATTTTAAGTTGTATTTATTAATAATCTCATAATATTTTGTCTTTAAATGGATATACTAGTACTTCTTAGTAGTTTGCCATTATTAACCCAAGCATTAGGAGGCAGGCACAAAAAATGACATGTCATTAGTAATTACTACTACCGGAGTTACCGTGACTTCTCAATGCAAGGTCTCCTATCGGAATCCTAATATGAATTGATGTTTCGAAATTGTTAATTTAGCAGAAAATAAATCTAATTATATCTAATATCTACAGTTTGTTAAAAGGAAGTTGCTCGTACGTAATTGCTTCTGTTGCTTCTTTTCATTGTTAATGAGCGTAATAGTTCGCATTGCAAAGAATAATTAAAACTACAAACGTTAGCAGGAAAACATAAAAATATAATGAAATACCTTGGACTTGAGTTATTGACCTCAATTATGAAAACGGTAACAACTTATTACATTGTTAAAACTTAGTACTAAACAAAACAAACTATAACAGAGTAATTAGTAACATACAGATGAAGACAATAATATGTATCATGCACAATAGACCGTTTTTTAGTGAAAGAGCAGATTTAAGTATGGGAGAAGATTGCTTCTGCACGAATGGGCCGACTAGACCAGAGTGATACCACGGCCTCACGGAAATAACGTTTACTTTGTATTTCGTCGTGTGAGTGAGGTTACCGGAGGCCCAATCGCTCCCTTCTCCAATCACCCCAATCCCTGAATCCCCAGTAATCCCCAAATTCCTAATCCCCAAAAGGCCGGTAACGCACCTGTAACACCTCTCGTGTTTCGTGTATCCATGGGCAGCACCGATTGCTTACCATCAGGTGATCTGTGTGCTCGTTTACCGGCTTATTCCATAAAAAAGGAATATGTGAGGGTAACAACAATTCGGCTGTCATTAGTAATCAAGAACATAGTGGTATCCTCAAAATACCTTTAGAAGGTGAAATATCGGCTACCACAAGATTCTTGGCTATCTTTTTGTAGAATTATTTTATGTTTATCTAGTTATAATACTGTTCCCGTCCTATTCTACAAATTCCAAAGTTATGTACTAACATCTTTACTATGTTAGTGCAGTGAAACATAAAGTTTGACCACCCCATGTGAATTTCTCGCTACAAACTAAACTAACATCGTTGAGTTGTTATCCGATGAAAACTGTACAAGATAATTTCACTCCAGCATACTATACACTCGGGAGCAAACAAACGGGGTCACTAGCTTTTTTTCACTTCATCAGCAATCATCTGCACAAAAATATTAAAAACTGCTTTATTATACATATGTAAATGCACAACAACATATTCTCTTTTTAAAGGTAACTAAATTGCCTTTAAGTAAAAACGCGGGTTACTCACGTGAATATACTGAGAAAAGCTCTACTAGTTTCGAACCACAGAGGGGTTCTTCCTCATGAGCAGCGTGCGCGGTCGCGGCGACGTCGCGCAGCTCACTGGCT